ACTGGGGATGTGCCCGCAACCCAGGTACATGCCCTTGACCGGAATCGAACCTGGGACCTTTCGGTCCGCAGGCTGACACTCTATCCACTGAGCCAAACCGGTTTTGGCGACCTTGATTTTTTTATTCTCACTGAGTGCTGTGGCTCATTTTCTCTTTTGGTCTACTTGAGTCATATCTTAACTAACTGCTTCAGTTAATCTGTGAAAAATACAATGATTTTAGGTGCATGTGTAGAATTGACTTATTTTTCAGTAGTGGAATAAAAGCCTATAAGTAGGTGTGTTTGTTTAGAATTAATGCCGGATATAGACTAACGTATAGATATTATATGAGGATCTTATGACTTAAGACACATGTGGGATATGCTCAGACTTCTGAAGAAGGTACAATGCAGGCTACCGCTAAACTGCTGCCCTTTTGACATGGACTAGCTCCTTAGGTGTGCAAGCTTAGAGGAGTTGGACAACCAACCATGGGGTTTTCTCCTCCTGGTTTCCTGGGATGAGTGACTGGGGTGGGAAAGGAGGTGATGTGTCTGCCCTTGTTGAGTGTTTTTTGATTGGAGGTGACTAACTCAGTTCCCTTGGCGTTCAGGGTAGCACATGAGAATGGTGCAACAGAAATCCTTTGATTTATTAAAAACTGCAGGATTTTTATTGTGACCTGACTGGAGAACCTGACCATCCAAGAGTCTGTGAGTAGGAATTGGTATATGGTTTTTATAACCTGGCCCTTCCCTGAGGAACAATAGGCAAGGGACACATTGTGTCTAGAACCAGCTCACTATTTAGCAGAGTATTAGGGCTTCTTGGCATCCAGGGAAGAAGGACTCAAGACCTGAAGGTGGTACTGTGGGGTTGGGTTGAGAGCAGTACTCAGGTAGGGGGCGGCCAAGGGCAGGCTGACAGGCTATCTAACAATATCTAGGGTTTATTAGTATGGGGAGTGTGTGCTGTACACACATTATCTCATTTAACCCTTAGGGTAACCTGAGGTCTAAGTAGCTGAAGGGTTCAAATAACTTGGCCAAGGTCACAGCATAGTACTAGGGCCCATGCTGCAGCCTGAGTGTGTGGCTCTGAAGCCTGTGGCTTTGAGTTCTCATAATGTGGGCCTGTCATTCTCATCCAGATGAGCAAAGGTAGCCAGTCCAGTGTCTAGAGTACTCAATTCAGAACTACAAAATTTTTGTGTTTGATCGTGCTCCCTTCCATTCTTACTCCTCTCCTGACTCCAGAACAAATGGCTGTTGCATATTGCTAATGGACTGGTTCTCAATGGCAGTGGGGTCTAATCACCGGTAACCACATTTCTTCCCTCCCCTCTTTCTTCTCCAGCTGCTGACTGACTTTAAATTTATCCTTTTACCGTCCAAAACAGTTTGTATTTTAACACTTCGCCCAACTGACTGCTTGTCAATACATTAAGTATGGTTATGCTATTCCTAGTCCAGATGAAGAAACAAAACAATCTTCAATCTTTTGGCCTCTGACATTAGAATCTGACATCCTTCTCTTGATGTAAAATAAAAAGTAGTATTAGATAATCATTTGATTTTTTTATTTGTAATTTTTATAGGTTGAACACAAATGTGGAATTATATCAAAGCCTGCAAAAATTACTAGCTGATAAAAAACTCGTGGATTCCCTTGATCCAGAAACCAGGTACTCATTTCCCTTGCATTTATTATGATTGTGACTGTAGAGGCTAGACTAGAAGACTCCTCCTGGGTATCTCTCTACTCACACCCCCTGGTGTCTGGAGTGTTTCTCCACAGGTATCGCTACATGATTCCTACACTTTCTTTAGGACTCTACTCAAATGGTATCTCCTCTAAGAACTTTGTATGAGATCATATGCTTAATCCTCTTTGTTTTTCTTAGTCCTAATCACTTCCAACATTAACTTATTCACTATATTTTTATTTATTTTATTTATTTATTTATTTATTTTTTATTCACTATATTTTTAGATAACAAGAAAGCAAGCTCAAAAATGTTCTCTACTGGTCTGTAAGTTTAATGCTATTCAGTTTATATCTAAGGGAGATGTTTTTGTTACTACTTAAAATGCTTTTGAAGTCAGATCATAAATATGCCAGAATAGGCAGAAAAAAATCTGGTAAAATACAAAAAGGGAACTTGTATCAGATAAGATATATTATTAAAAATACTAGAGGGGGTCCCTCAGCCTGGGCTGTGCCCTCTCGCAATCCGAGTCCCTTCGGGGGATGTCGGATAGCTGGATAGCTGGTTTTGGCCCAATCCCCACAGGCCTGATCCAGACAGGAGGGAGCCCGATCCTGTGGGTTGAGCGCCTTCCCCTGGTGGTCAGTGCGCAGCATAGCGACTGGTTGACCGGTCTTTTGGTCACTTAGGCTTTTATATATATATATATATATAGGTTGTATTTGAAAG